TGGGGAGGTCGGGTGCGAGGCAGCAGGGTCAGGGGCGGCAGTCCATCTACGCTCAGGTACGGGGTCTCCGTGAATCGCTCACCGGCGTCTGAAAAGGCGAAAATGTCCGGCCCGTCCACTGCGAGGACCTGAGGCTGGGGAGGAAGAGGAACGCAGATCAGGTCACATGATCAGAGCAGTGTGCGAAATTGGTGTACTGCCCTCCCCCCCCCCTATCACTGCTGTATATCTCTGTGTACTGCACCCCCCGCCTGTCACTGTGCTGTATATCGGCTCCACCTAGAGGAGAGCTCTGTGTACTGCCCCCCCGCCTGTCACTGTGCTGTATATCGGCTCCACCTAGAGGAGAGCTCTGTGTACTGCCCCCCCGCCTGTCACTGTGCTGTATATCGGCTCCACCTAGAGGAGAGCTCTGTGTACTGCCCCCCCGCCTGTCACTGTGCTGTATATCGGCTCCACCTAGAGGAGAGCTCTGTGTACTGCCCCCCCGCCTGTCACTGTGCTGTATATCGGCTCCACCTAGAGGAGAGCTCTGTGTACTGCCCCCCCGCCTGTCACTGTGCTGTATATCGGCTCCACCTAGAGGAGAGCTCTGTGTACTGCCCCCCCGCCTGTCACTGTGCTGTATATCGGCTCCACCTAGAGGAGAGCTCTGTGTACTGCCCCCCCGCCTGTCACTGTGCTGTATATCGGCTCCACCTAGAGGAGAGCTCTGTGTACTGCCCCCCCGCCTGTCACTGTGCTGTATATCGGCTCCACCTAGAGGAGAGCTCTGTGTACTGCCCCCCCGCCTGTCACTGTGCTGTATATCGGCTCCACCTAGAGGAGAGCTCTGTGTACTGCCCCCCCGCCTGTCACTGTGCTGTATATCGGCTCCACCTAGAGGAGAGCTCTGTGTACTGCCCCCCCGCCTGTCACTGTGCTGTATATCGGCTCCACCTAGAGGAGAGCTCTGTGTACTGCCCCCCCGCCTGTCACTGTGCTGTATATCGGCTCCACCTAGAGGAGAGCTCTGTGTACTGCCCCCCCGCCTGTCACTGTGCTGTATATCGGCTCCACCTAGAGGAGAGCTCTGTGTACTGCCCCCCCGCCTGTCACTGTGCTGTATATCGGCTCCACCTAGAGGAGAGCTCTGTGTACTGCCCCCCCGCCTGTCACTGTGCTGTATATCGGCTCCACCTAGAGGAGAGCTCTGTGTACTGCCCCCCCGCCTGTCACTGTGCTGTATATCGGCTCCACCTAGAGGAGAGCTCTGTGTACTGCCCCCCCGCCTGTCACTGTGCTGTATATCGGCTCCACCTAGAGGAGAGCTCTGTGTACTGCCCCCCCGCCTGTCACTGTGCTGTATATCGGCTCCACCTAGAGGAGAGCTCTGTGTACTGCCCCCCCGCCTGTCACTGTGCTGTATATCGGCTCCACCTAGAGGAGAGCTCTGTGTACTGCCCCCCCGCCTGTCACTGTGCTGTATATCGGCTCCACCTAGAGGAGAGCTCTGTGTACTGCCCCCCCGCCTGTCACTGTGCTGTATATCGGCTCCACCTAGAGGAGAGCTCTGTGTACTGCCCCCCCGCCTGTCACTGTGCTGTATATCGGCTCCACCTAGAGGAGAGCTCTGTGTACTGCCCCCCCGCCTGTCACTGTGCTGTATATCGGCTCCACCTAGAGGAGAGCTCTGTGTACTGCCCCCCCGCCTGTCACTGTGCTGTATATCGGCTCCACCTAGAGGAGAGCTCTGTGTACTGCCCCCCCGCCTGTCACTGTGCTGTATACCGGCTCCTCCTAGGGGAGGGGCTTACCTCTCGGTGCTCGGACTTCCTCTGCCGGGCGGTCAGTCTCTGGATGTGTTCGCTCGGTGGCTCCACGCTCACCAGCCCCCGGTACAGGTTCTGTTCCCGACACACGTTCAGCGCTAGAGGTGAGAAAACAGATATTAGAGGGATGCAGGCCCCTCCCACTCCCACCAGCCAATCATCTCACTATCTGAACGCTTCACTCTCTACATTGCGCTTTACTCGATACGATCGACTTAGCTCGCTCTGCACTGCGCTCTCGGCGTCAAACTCCCGCCGCGCCTGAACCCGCACTTCTTGCTTCAGGACCTCGCTGCTGTGCATTCTGGGAGCTGCGAGGGCGGCCTCCTCTCTGCCTGACGCCTCTTCATCTACGTCAAAGCGAACCTGGGGGAATAAGCAATAAAATAGGCCGGGGCTCTTGGGGGAGGGGGCGGAGCTAGTGACCGTGAGGCAGCCTCAGCCAATCCGTGAAATAAACACCAATAGCCTCACCTGCCGCGGCCCCTTCTTCCGCCCGGAGGGCTCCCGGCGCAGTATCCCTCCACCTTTGTCTGGTGTCAAGGTGATGTCCAATAGTGGGTGAGCCTGAGCCAGATCGGGGCCCAGTGGGACGGGCTGAGGGGCCCGGTGAGCCGGAACGGCACTCTCTTCTTCACATGCGGACATTCTGTGGAAAGAAAGGAAATCATTGAGGGAGATGAAGGAAGACGTCTAGGCCCTCCTGATATTGGGGCACTTCCTGTGCCTAGGCCCCCCTGATATTGGCGCACTTCCTGTGCTTAGGCCCTCCTGATATTGGAGCACTTCCTGTGCCTAGGCCCCCCTGATATTGGCGCACTT